GAATAAGGGATGGTTGGAGTGAATGAGGGGCTCAGCGTTGAGTGGAGAAGCTCTACTGGGGCAGGATCAAAGAGCTCAGTCATCCAAGGCTGCTGCTCAACCCAGACTTTAGTCAACCAACCACACACTCTAATCTCTTGCAGAGGTCTCCATAGAAAAGCATCAACCAAACTGAGGCTAATGAGCATCTATCAAACAACAAGAACAAACAGAAAGGGTAATGCAGGAAATACAATTGAGTCAAACTTCTCTGCAATTCTGTCTATTAACCTCTTATCCTGCCGCAGACCTACTGCTAGCTGTCAAAGAGACTCAATATACTGCTGAATTGAAGCGATGTATAAAATGCTGAACAGGATAATTCAATTGATTTAAAGTGTAGCCGTAAAACAATGGCACATTTATTATTTTACTCCATGCAAGTTGAAATATTGTAGCTTCAAGCACGGGAAAGAAACAAAATGATAAAGGTATTACATAAAGTGACTTTATTTCTGCACCTTAAAGCCTTCAACTGCGACATATAAGTTGAGAGTATTATTTAAGAGGGATATGTTTGTTTTTTAAAACATTTACATGAATTATTCCAACCTCTTTTAGGATATAGTCCATTTGTAATTGAGATGCAATTTTCTATAAGGTCAAATTGTTGTATTCCATTCACACCAATATTTGAAACAGAATAATTTAGAAGCTCAATCAATTACTTACAATTTAAGCGTGTTTTAAGTAGGCAGATTTGCTTGCGTAAGCCAAGTGAATCTATGCAGATCTTATGCAACTTTGGTGCAACTTGATATGCAAATTACTCTTGTTTACCAAAAGCAAACTGTCTTGACGGTGCTGACCTTTGAGGTAATGGGGAGCTGGAGAATCCAAAACAAAACTATCTATCCTAGCTCTTTTGGCTGTTTTGTACCATCCACTTTACACAACCCTCCTCTAAACTCCTCAACAATACAGTCATTGCTTGGAGACAATTAGGAGTAATGAAAGAGGATTACATTTTAGAAATATGTATTTAAAAAAAATACTATATTCAGATTGACAAGGTTAGTCAAGCTAAAGTAGTTGCCCTGTAAGCAGTTCCTGCACAAATATCACAAATTCCCCTTTCTTGTTTGATTGAATGTCTACAAAGATAGAGACATTTTAAATATGTAATACAAAACCAACATTTTAAGAAATAAAAAAATATGTAATATGACATGCTTCAGTTTCCCCAAACTACTCCGTACAGTCGCTTCAATCTCAAATCCCTTGACTGTGCACCCTTTATCATTGTTCACCCACTGCCATTAATCTGCCTCTTTTACACATCCACTGTCTCCCTCTCTTCATCTCTGTCTCCATCTCTCAGGCTTCTCTTCTCACACATAAATATAGCCAATATTTATCTCATTTATTTTCTTTAAACAGGGTTATCGAAGGGCACCCACTGAGCCATGGCAAAGAAGACCAATGCTATCAGAGACTTAAAACAAAGCAGTGGGAGGTGGTAACCACACTGAGCCAAAGGAGTGCACAATTTAAACAACACAAAGCCGGCTTAGTTTCTTTATCCATACTGTGCATCAATGGGACTGGAATATGACCAGACTCCAGGTCTCTCTGGGAGAGTATAAGGCACATTGAGAGATGGGGGAGAAATATTTCCTCAGCCAGATGATTGGACATTCAGAATTACCCAAACCTAAATTCCAGTGTGCAACAGTCATTCATTGCTTCAGGATTGCTCAATAATGCATCAAAACTCAAAGGCCTCCAGGGGAAGCAGTCAGTAATCAAAAAGTAAGTTAAGGTTTTCATAATAGGGCCCTATAAATAACTGGGGACAGAAATGAGGGCATATAAAATTGATGAGGGATGATTCAAACCCCATGAGGTGGAGGGAGCTTAACGCAAGGAGAATGAATGTGATGTTGAGAGGCCTGACAATATGGGCATGAGTAGAAGATGGAATTGCGTAAGTGATTTGTGTCACCAGTGCCACTATATAACTGCACAGATATATCGACGTTGTTCTAGAGGGGTCGACTTTGAAACGATGCTCTCAACGTAGGAATATGCAGACACCAGTTTTTACTGCTCAATTCAAACAAACTGGCAATGATTGCATAACCTAAAGCTACTGATTAAAGGATTTTCTGAAACACTGTTGAACCGTTTAAATGTGATTAAATTAAATTATTAGTTTTCATAATTCCTGTGTACACAAAATGGTCTTAAAAAAGTTAATTAAGATTTTTATTTTTTATTTCAATAAAAACAAATGTATTTTTAAGCCATAAATGTTTCACTGTGTTTCTATTTAATGTATTTTTGTATTGTGCTGCCAGCAGTGAACTTCTGTATGATAAAAAACAGTACAATTTATTGCCTGCATTCCAGCTTCAAGTGAGGGAGAAAACATACCGAAACCAGTCATTTACAACTTGAAGAGTTTGGGTTTAAATGAGCACCTTACTCCCACACATTTCTTTGAGGAAATGTAAAATATGGTGTGCTGGAACCTCTTTGCTTTTTCTGCAGAATTCTAAATTCCCTAGTGCTAACATCACTAACATCACTCTGCTGTGAAAAAGTATTTAAAATGTTTTAAACCCATGTGTAATGATGCCTTGCAAAACATAATCTTTAAAGTATATTATTATCTCGACTCTAAAAAGACTCAATCCTGTCATCTTTTGTTCTGTGGTGAAATGAAGATTTCATTAGGATTGCTCGAATAAAATAAAATGTGGTTAAGTGGTTGTCATAGTGTCATTAGTAGACGGCCAACAGTAAAAAGTAAATAAATAAACAATACAAAGTAACAATAATAGGTCACACAATAATACATTTCACTTACTTTTAAGAAAGCGCTGTTCAAGTTTGGCCCTGATCCCAATCTAAGTCCTTTAACATTTAGTATAGGCTGATACTAAATGTGATCCTGTTCTTATCTGTTTCGAATGGCAATTTAATATATATGTGACACATTGAATTTACAGTTGTAACCTATTTAATCTGACATGGCTTATTTTTTCATGAGCTTCTTGATAAAAATGCTAAAGGGACAGGCTCTAAAATATTAAGCTAAGAAAGCTTAAATTAATGATATAATGTGAATGAAAGTTTAATTGCAGAATGTGACTGAATTTGTCGTGACATGATCAGCTACAGAAAAAACAGCGAGTGAGTTGGAGCGGTGGGAACTACAGACACTAGTGGTGTTACAGAGTGAAGCTTCTTCCCAGAAAAAGCAATCTTTGGACCAGTACGGAAAACGGCTGCACAGATCACTTTAACCAAACAACAGACAGGTTTGAATTTCAATCATGTCACGTAGGGTATTCATTGGTGACAGCTCACATGACCTGCCACAGATGAAAGCATTAGACAACGCTAGCTAAATGCACTGCAACTCGAATGGTTTCTACCCTAATATTTTCTCAAGAGAAAAGGGAGGAGACATTTTATATCCAATTTCAAACCTAAGTTTCCCTTGTTTTTACATTGCATTTGCAAGAAGTTATGAATATGATTTTAGCCAAAACAGTCCGTTAAAGTATGCCTACCTCAGGACTTGGGACATCTCTAACCTTGCATGCACAACAAACCAAAGTCTGATCCTGTCCATCCACATTACGTTTAGTTTGTTTTAACATAAATGTTTGAGCTGATTTTGACAAATGTGGTTCAGAGTTTAATGTATAAATGATGACATCACATTGTCATAAAAATGGATGACAACGTGTATAATTCAAATGCATGGGTCCACATTTATATTTGGAGAAGACATACTGTACTTTTTAAAGAATATTTCCATTAAAAACTAAAATCTTTTATCAGCCACTCAACCTAAGTTCATTTTCTTTACTGACTAATATTGTATTTGAGATAACCCTACTCTACTGTATTCCAGGGACGTGCAGGTATTGTCCGCAGTTGACTGCCAACCTGACAGATGGATAATTTACCACCCAGCACTGACAACCTGAAATAAAAATTATTTTGATGCTTTTTGGCCAGGCAAAATGTGCGTCTCTCTTATTCCAGCCATATCCTTTCTGGTCCAGGTAGTCCGTTTTGTAGGTTTACTTGTAACACACTTGATATCTCATAAAGGGAAAAAACGAGTGGATTTAGACATGCGGTTTGCCAAGGACCAAAGAAATATGTCCTTATTCATCATTCATTGTTATCCCTTTTTCCTTATTAAAGGGCCTGCATTCCCATTCCCACCATCTGCACATAGATATTTTTTCACAGAATCACAGATGACTGAGGGGCAGAAAAAGGCTCATAGAATCTGCTGTTATAGCGTGTCACAGCTGGTCTTTATTTAAACTTCATGTATGAAATATTTACCTTCAAGTAAGTGTTTTGTTGGTAACATCAATTGATGCAAATGAACCAACTGACTCATGATCAGGAGAGCGAGCCCTAGACAAGAATATGAACAGATTGACTGAAATATAAGGGGATTGAAGAAACTGTAGAACCTTGATCTAATGATGTGCAACATGACTAAAGGCTTACATACAGGTTTGCATTCAAGCATACAGAATGCCAGAAACATTCATTCCCCACAAAGCGGTATGAGAGCTAATTCACAGTGGCTCTTTGAGGACGCCAAGTACAACGCACAAATATACTGAGCAATGCTCCCATCAGTCACTCAGGAAAAGCATACATTCGATGTCTGTGAGGTGCGCATAAAATAAAATATAGATAGCTAGTTAGACAGATCTATAGGATTTGGAGCTGGTATGACAAGAGAAAGAAAACTATTCCCAAAATGAAGTTAAGAAGAAGAGGGCTAAAATCTATTAAAAAAAGTAATGCTCTGCTGTATCTTTACTTGTTGTTTTAAGTTATTTTTTAAATATAGAAAAGGTCATCAGATATAACAAGATTGATAGTGCTTGTCTTGAACACATTTATTTAAAGTAACATTGCCCGGGATAAAAATGAATAAGTCCTTCTTACACGTCGAAGAGATACATTTCACTCACCATCAAACTTTTTATGCCTGGAGACAAACGTCGTCCTCATGTTGTGGCTGCTGTTCTTGACCAAGTTCTCAAACTCCAGTTTGCTCTGCTGGTGGAGTTTGTCCTCCATCTCAGATGTGCAGCAGGTGTATCCCTGAGGACATACACGCAGGTGCTCACCTGAGGGAGACAGAGACATGGAGGGCTTTCTTTTAACACACACATCACTGCCACAGGATTTGCTTTTTCAAAGGCTGAGCTGAGTCTTTGATCAAAACTTTCCAGTGATTTTGGGACTCTCATCACTGAAGCTATCAAAGAGGGACAGACCGCAGCAAATGATAAAGAAGAACATTTGTCGGTACGCTGCTATCATGTGATACAGAAAGAAACAGGGGGGGGAGGGGGGTAAGCACAGCAGATTGTAGACACATTGACCTGGCATCACAGACTGCGTACACACAAAGCATCATCAGTGTCCATTTAGAGTCATGTTTCTAGCCACCGTACGTGACAAAGTTCACTCTTCTTTTAGCTCTGTATTACTCCTGAAAGAAATAAATCTGTAAGTGCTAATAGCTCCACTATATTTGCCAGCGACTTGCTTACTGTGTATGTCTTCTTGTTGGTGCTGATCAGGTAGTTTAGTGTACAGTGAAGTTACCAGAGCAAAGCTTAAATCAAAGCAAATGAGATCTGTGATGCCAAAACATCATATAGTGATAATCTTCTCTTGTTTCTCAATCCTTCACACTACACACATCACCCTCATTTGATACACGGTTAATATTAAACATTATTTATATTTATTAGTGCAGCCTTTAGAAGAAATCTTTGAATATTAGAATCACAGCTAGTGGACTCCAGTGCTTGCAGCAAGCTTAGTGTAAACAAGTAGTTAACCCCGAATGTAATACAAATGTATACTGTATGTTGTTACTTGTTGTTAATTGTATGCTGAGGCTGTGAGATCTCCACCACTGAGACTTCAGCTGCCATCTGGAAACAATTAAAACAATCTCAACAGCAAGCATTTTTTTGGGAGGTTTACTCAGGACAGACCTCACCTAGCTTGCTTTCAAATGTAGTTTCCAATAAAAAGTATTTCAACACATCATCGTATGCAAAGCCAGGTACCAATACGGGTGAGTCACACTTGATGTGTTTTTATTGACACTATTATGTTTTGCATACTCTCTTAAACTCTCTCATCTTTGTAAGAAACATTGTGAAATGCGTCTGGTGAACTAGTGTGCGTGTTCCGAGAAAGGACTCATCAGAGATGAATTGCATTGAGAGTTTCAAAATCCTATTTAAGTCTTTTAAAAAGCCTACAAGTTGAGTGGTTTCTCCAAGGATAATTACAACTATTGAACTTATACACCTATTAGACCAAACGAAGAGTGAACGGTATATATAGAGTAAAGCAAAGAACTAAGGGTATGAATCAGAACCAGAATGTAGAGTAGTCATTATATAGAAAGATAGAAAATGTAAAACAGTATTTCTTTGGCTTCAACTTTGCTTTTTGAAAGGCAGTAATCAGTAATGACCTCACACATCTGAAAACCCTCTCATTAAAAATAAACGGTTAGCCTCACATATGTGGAGTGTTCTCTTCGTGTAAAAAGGGCATGCATTACATAAAGGAAAGATTGATGATTAAATGATAATATCAGCCGTAATTAGAGATGTCCCGATCCGATCACGTGATCGGGGATCGGAGCCGATCACGTGATTTTCAAAAGATCGGAATCGGGAGAAAGAAATCGGGGATCGGGAATTTTTTTATTTTTTTAATAAAATATTTATATTATTTTATTTAATGTTACAAAACAAAAATGACCATGTTCACGTCTTAAAGTCATCCTGAGGCCTTAGTTTTGGTTTAAAATTACACAACATCATGTATGTGTTGCTTCTTTTGGGCTTGTTTTCATAGACCTGGTTGCTTATTTCTCTCAAATCTGGCAACAGAGTGAGCAGGGCGCAGTGTCTAATAGTAGCAGTAAGCTAACGAGAGGCTACGTTCAGCTGGTGACTCGGGAGTCGGGACAGAGAAAATGTCAGGAGTTTGGAAGTATTATAAAATTGAAAGCGAAGGCAGTGTAACAGCCAGATGCAATGTTTGCAAGGCGGAGGTTCCGCGTGGTGGAAAGAACAGAGCTACGTTCAACACGACCAATCTAATACGCCACCTGAGAAACAAACACCAACAACAACACGACGAGTACACAGCGGCCACTCAGGTAACGGCACTGAAACAACCGACACTTTCAGAGACTTTTAAAAGGAAAGAGAAATTGCCCCAGAACAGTGCCAAAAAAATAACAGCCAAGATAGCTGAATTCATCGCGTTGGATGACCAGCCGTTATCTGTTACCTTTTTTTTCTCTTAATGCATTCCATAAAGATCGGATCGGGAAAAATCGGTATCGGCAGATTGTCAAAATCAAATGATCGGAATCGGATTGGGAGCAAAAAAAGGTGATCGGGACATCCCTAGCCGTAATGCCCAGCACTATCAGACACAAACCATCCTTTACCATTCATGCATCAAACACAATCTTTACCTTATAGAGCAAAGTGAAGCAGCACCAGGCAGGTGTGCTTTTTACTATCAGAGAGAGACATTTGAGAATAGAGAGAATGACTATTTGAGCCAGATAAAGCAGATTTTGGTAGCAACATGGTGTGGGTGCTGGCAAACCTTTGCTTGAGAAAATGTACAGTACACACACCAGGATGGGTTTAGGACAAGAGTTAATAGTTCAATAAGTGACATAACATGAAGACTTAAAACAAACCGAAAATCTGGGGACAGCAGAAACTTTTGCTGAGGCTCTTCACAGACAATACCAGCAAACCTCACAAAGCTATCTGCAAGGAGGAATGTGATAAATCATTTAAATATAAATATGCCAAGATTATACATAAACTTTAAAAACAATCAAATCACTGCCTAAGCTGTGTCTATACTCAAAATAGTTTTATTTTCCTGTACTTTCACTAAGTTGGGTGCATTTAGATGTTTTAAAAACAGAACCATTGAGGTTAGAAGGCCATTGAAAAGTTAAAAGCAAGTATATATTTGTCAAAACAGAATGTGGGCAATTATATCCTGGTAAAAATGACAACATAACATTAATCACTTTCAGGTCTTGTAGGTCCACACAACATAACCTTAAGTGACTTTGCTGTAAACCCAAACTCACTTAGAGACTCCTACTTATATGTACTTTTTTAAATGAACATATCTGAATGTAAATACAACAAAGCAGCATACAACCTTACAATTACGCTTGGTTTATTTATTTTCCAGTAGCTTTCATAGTTCTAACTACAAAATAATCTCTAACTTAAACAATAAAAGGACTTTGAAGGTTACAACATTACATTACATTACATGTTACTTGTTAGACGCTTTGGGTGAAGTGTCTTGCCCAGGGACACTACGACATGCTGACTGCTGTGGGGTTTGAACCTGTGACCCCCTGATCCCAACACCAAGGCTCTTTCCACTGCGCCACACACCTCCCTAAATGAACTAGTATGAAACAGGAGTTCTAAATGAATCACAATCAGAAACCACTGTTGCAAATAAATGCCCAATTAGAAACGAGTGCCATGTTTTCCTTCTCAAATACTATACATAGCAGGGTCTATTTTGTTGATATTTCTGAGAAAGAGCACCTCAATGTAATTATGAGCCCATAACTCAACAGAAGGAGCTTTTAAAGGGTCTTGAGGGCTCCGTCAATGACTATTTGTCAGAAGATGAGACAGTTAAAAAACGTTTAAAAAATAAACAAACAATGAATGTGATTGAGGTTACTGTATAAACAATAAAACTAAGCTGGTCATAATGCATATTATGTTTTAACTGTTTGCATTCCTGGGCAGCAAAATGCTGAAGTTGTTTGGAAAGGTAGCAGTTTTACAAATCCTTGAGAAAGAAAATCACCCAGTTTGCGACTCCTTACTGAATCGTACAAATAGAGCAATTGTACTGCCATATACTCTCTGTATTATCTCTCCTCTGCTGCTCTATGTCTGAGAGGATACGATGTCATTATCAGAGGTAAAGAACAGAAGAAAAAAAACAGGTCTGGACAGCAGTTGCATGACACAATTGAGTCTTTCTCTTTCTATCTCTCAACTTCTGAGAAAAAGACACATGAAATGGCTGTCGCTGCACCAGAGGTGGATGGGTGCAGAATAGACTCAGACTGTGAGACTTTTTTTGTATGGATCCTACTATACAATGCAGGCACTGACATTCCCACTGGTGTTCTGCATGCATATACAGTAAGGTATAGATGAAGGAGCTGTGCTTGGCTAATGAAACAAGGAGGATGCAGTATGTACGTGTTGGTACTCTCAAATGTGCTTAATCCTTAATCAGTCCTTAGAGGGGAGCCAGGCCACAGTAATGAGGTGCACCATCAACAGCGCAACACCAACCCATTGTCCCCAGAGTATGCACAAGCCTTCTGGCCACCGATAACAAAGCTCTCTAAAAAAACTAAATAAGATAAAATGCACAAGTGGATTTCCATTTTTTTTTATTCTTTAAGACGCTTTTGTTCCTCCACTTAAATGCTGTAATCTTTTAGCAATGCACTTAGCAATGCATTCCTCAACTGTCACACATTGTTTCCAGTCCGCGGAGACGCAACACTGTGATAATCTTTATTCCAAGCTGTGATCAGTTTAGTGTTGTATAGGGGTATTATTTAATTTTTTTCATGAGGAAGATCTTTTTATAAATCTCTGTTTATCTTCTCAGGCGATGATCCTGTCACTGTTTCACTGTTTAACAATAATTAATGAATGTATTTCATATAGCACATTCTAAAACACAGTGAATTCACAAGACGCTTCACATGAATGGGAAACGATCATAGGTTTAATTAATATAGATAATTTCAAGGCAAATAATAGGATAAATAAGATTAGAGACCAAATACTAAGAGACCCGAATGTAAATGGGAAACACACATGACCCTAGGGGAAGGCTTGACTTGGGGTCAGTTTCAAGGCACGCTTCAATTAGTTGACAAATGCCAAAGTAAACAGCTAATTTCAGCAGTGTGACCGCGTTGCAGGATTGAAAATTGCAGTGTTTGAAACAATGCCAAAGAAAAAGTTTGGTACAAGAATGGATGCTTTATTGGCAT